AATGCCTGGATAGAGTGGACGTTGGGAAGGTGTTTCCATTAACAAGAGAGACTAGGACCTGAGGGCACATCCTTAGAGTAAAGGGAAGACCCTTTAGAACAGAGATGAGGAGAAACTTCTTCAGCCAGAGAGTGGTGAATCTATGGAATTTATTACTACAGAAGACTGTGGAGGCAAGTCATTGAGTATGTTTAAGACAGAGATAGACAGGTTTTTGATTGTTAAAGGAATCAAAGGTTACAGGGAGAAGGTGGGAGAATGGGGTTGAGAAACTTGTCAGCCATGATTGAATGGTGGAGCAGATTTGATGGGCCGAACAGCCTAATTTCTGCTCCTAAGTCTTATGGTCAGATGAAACACCATTTCAAAAATGCATTTTGTCACAAGACAGAATACAGAAGCAACAAACCATAAGAACTGCATCTGTTTATCTCATGCTTCCACCCACCCATCCATCCCAACTATATAAATGTATACAATCTGGGCATTTCCTAAACCTTTAACTGAATCTGTTATTTTACTCTGCACACTTCCTCTGCAGTTTCATTATCTTTTCCAGGAATGTGAATCATCTTTCCAGTAAATGATTGAAATGAAAGACTTTGTCTAAACAGTCACTTATTTTGAGATTGAATGTTTTCAATGAAATTTAGCAGATTAGGGTCAGTATTTCTCTGTTACTATATCAGACCTTCAAAATTTTGGAGAACCATTCATAATCCCAAAACCTCATTTTCTACTGTAGTGTATTTCCTATGATCCTGCTTTAGTTTCTTAGAGAAATACTCTTGCTGGATTTTCTATTCCCAATTCCTCCTCACATAAAAAATGACACCGTTCCCCCAAGTCACCGAACCACAGAATTATTGTAGAGCAGAAGGAGACCATTTGGCCCATCCTGTCAACACTGACTCTTCACACAAGCATAATTTTCTTGCACCAATCTCCTGCCTTGTCTGTCCAAATGATCATCCAATGCCCTCTCAAACTGAAATTGTCTCCACCACAATTCTAGGCATTGCACTCCATACCCTATATCCTTGCTGTGTGAAAGAATTTTTCTCACCTTTTCTTCTTTTACAAATTACTTTCAAGCTGTGCCCTCTCATTCTTGATACTTTGAATGGAAACACTTCAACTACTCTATCCAGACCCCTGATGATTTTGAAAACTTCTATTAGATCTCAGCCTTCCCTCCAAGGAGAATAGTCCAACCTCTCCAAACTATGCGCATAACTGAAGTTTCTCATGTCTGGAATCAGTCTTGTAAATCTCTCCTGTGAATCACTTCTGCACTCTCTCCAATGTATTAACATATTTCCTATAATGCAGAGCCTACAACTGTACACAATCCTCCAGTAGATGTCTACAAGTGCCTCAAACAAGTTCAACATCACCCCTTTGTTCCTGTAGTCTACTACCTTATTTAAAAAGCCAAGCACATTGTACGCTTTATTAACTACTCTCCCCACCTGTCCTGCCAACTTCAAGACCTGTGCACATATACCCTCAGGTCCCTCTGCTCTTGCAGCCCCTTTGGAATTGTATGTCCTATTTTATATTGTCTTTCAACATTCTTCTGACCAAAGTGCATCCCCTCACATTTGTCCTTATTGAACCACATCGGTCACCAATCCACCCACTCCACCAACCTGTCAGTCTGTTGGAGTTCCAAGCTGTTCTCCTTACAGTTTGGAATTCTTCTAAGTTTCACGTCATATGCAAACATTGAAACTGTCCCCAGCACACCAAGATCCAGATCATTAATATATATCAGGAAAAACAAGGGTTCCCATACTGAGCCCTGGGGAACTCCACTGCAAACCTTCCTCCAGCCCGAACAGATCTCTGAGGACATCTACGCTTCAACAAAGCTCCATTTTTAATATAACAACACAGCGGGGAACTCTTGTCATTCCCAGCTTCAGTGAGAGCTATTTGAATCTTCAGTCCTTTGCTCTACAACAGTCCTATTCCCAAATCAATCCCAATCAAAAATGAAGTCAAATTTAAAAAGTGCAGTGTCAACATTATACTTTGCTTTTCTAAGTGCATTTTTAACACTTCCTCAACAACAGGTTCCAGCATTTTCAACAACTGGTATTAGGTTCCCTGACGTGTACTTCCCCATTCTCTCCCTCGCTCTCACTGTCTCTGTCCTTTTTTTAAAAGCAGCGTTACATTTGCCAATTTCCAATCTGATGGGACCATCCATCCAGCGTCTCACCATCTCTGCAGCTACCTCTTTTTGAACCCTCGTATAGGTCATTGGGTCCTGGGGATTCATCAGATATTTGCCTCCTTGGTTCCTCCATTTTTATTTTCTCTTTTAATATATACTTTTTCCTCACTCTTTTTAACTCCTAGGCTGTTGTTTATTTCGGGAATGGACCTTTTGTCTTTTGCTGTGAAGACAGGCAGAATGTATTTCTTCAACACCTCAGCCATTTACTCATTTCCCACAGTACGTCATCCTGTCTCAGCTTCCAAGGGACCGATGTTTAGTTTTAGCCGCTCTCTTCCTGTTACATACTTCTAAAAGCTCTTACAGTCCATCTTTATATTTGTGGACAGTTTACCCTTGCATACTACTCCCCCTTTTATTTCTTGTTGTTCTAGCTCTTTGCTGGTTTCTGAAACACTCCCAATACTCAGACTTGTTTAATTTTACAGCATTATAAGCCTCTTCTTTAAACTAATACAATCCTTAAATTGAATGAAAAGCCCCAAGCCCTGAAGTATCCTTAACTTCCTCAGTGGGCCATGGATTGGTCTTTCTTGCTGAGTTTTTGTTCTTCAATGATTTATGCTTTTATTGAACCTTTTGAATCATTTCTTTAAATGTTTTCTTTGTTCATTTACACCCAACCTAAGTCAGTTCTCCTCTTGTACTTATGTAATTAGCTTTAATATTCTGAGACAACAAGGCGTAGAGCTGGATGAACACAGCAGGCCAAGCAGCATCATAGGAGCAGGAAGGCTGGCGTTTCGGGCCTAGATCCTTCTTCAGAAGGGTTTCCATTTTTCTGAAGAAGGGTCTAGGCCCAAAACATCAGCCTTCCTGCTCCTATGATGCTGCTTGGCCTGCTGTGTTCATCCAGCTCTACGCCTTGTTGTCTCAGATTCTCCAACATCTGCAGTTCCTACTATCTCTGATACAGCTTTAATATTCTTGTTTGTTTAGACTAGGTCACTTTCAAACTTTATATGGAATTCAATGGTGTTATGATTATTATTGCCCAGTGGATCTTTTACAGCAACATTTGGAAATAATTCTTCTTCATTACACAATACTAAGTCTGAGATAGCTTTATCCATTGTCGGTTCCACAATGAATTGCTCCAAGAAATTGTCACACAGCGTTCTATAATTCCATCTTCTTAAGTACTTTTGCTTGTCCCAGTCTGCATGAAGATTAAACTCCACTACAATTTTCACATTGCTTTTGTTTACAAGCCTCAATAATTTGTCCTGTACAGCTCTGTCCAATATTATAACTGGTCCCACCAGTGTTTTATAATTCTTAATTCCACGCATACTGATCGTACTGATGACAGGTCCTTTTTCACTAATGTCTCTATGTTATCTTTTACAATCAGAGCGACTTCTCCTTTCCATTCTTTACATCTTTCCAAAATATTGAGTACCCTCCAATATTTATTTCCCACACTTCTGGAATGGTGTTAGAACAGCTTCATTAAAGCTTATTAAAAATGTGTGCCACTTTTCACCTATCATATTGCAGATGCTTCAATGTATTGAAATCAAGAACGTTTAATTTACTTTATACCTCCCAATTTCCATAATAATCTTATTTGCTGATGGACAATTTTTGTTCAACTCTTTGACGTGACCGGTTTCGTTCAGCTTGGTCTGCACCGATGTAGTGTCCGGACGCTTTGATCTTTACGGTTGGATTTTTAAATCATCCCCAAACCCCACCCCCCCATAAATACTAACTGTTAATGTGTTTTCTGGATCCTTCGCAGTACCTGCAGGCTAATGTTTTGTGATTCATATGTATTGACTGTCATTGTTTTCCTTTCGGAAGGTTGAGATGGAGTGTATTTGATGGAACTGTGGGGGTGGAGTGCCTGTGTATATTTCAGTGAGGGAATCAGGGATTACAGGGAAAAGGGCCAGCAAAGTGGACGTGAACAATGCCAGATCAGTCATGATCCTATTAAATGGAAGAGCAGGGCTGAACAGCTTAGTTCTATTCTTAACTGTACACAACAGGCCATGACAAGACGCTATACAAATGCAACATGCAAAATTTGTTTTCCGAAAGCTGCTTACTTCCGGGTACAGCTCTTAAATCATGTGATCTCACGATCACGTGGTTCTAACAGATCCCGCCCACGACGTGCTGGTGCCGCCCCCGGTCATATTCCTCCCACCTCAAGCCACACCCCCATCTCCTACCGACCAACCTCATCCCGCCCCCTTGACCTGTCCGTCCTCCCTGGACTGACCTATCCC